ATCCCCGTACACAGCCGTGTACTACGAGCAGCCCGCCGCTGCTCTTCGCCGATTCGAGAGTGCGAAGACTCTCAGGGGCTAAGTCCCCGTGGTACGCGCCACCCGCCCACCCATCACGAAGACGTAGTTCTTCCCCAGTAGGGCGGACCGCCCCTACTGGTTCCCGGCGTTCCCCTGTCCCCGAGATCCTGGCTTTTGCCAGCGACCCTTGAGGACAGGCTTGGGGAAAGACCGTCTGCGGAGTCTTTCCGCGGGGCATCTTCCCGCAGCCGAAGCAGCGGATGTCGCGCTGCTCGGAGGACCCGATTTCCACGGGAACTGGTCCGTTGGGGCTTGTTCGACCGGGAGCCGACAAGGAGCTCCCAGGCCACGCTGAGGCCGGCGTACGCGCCTGGCGATGGCTGTGCTCTTTTTGAAGAGCCACTTGAATCGCCTCTTCAAGGGTGTTTGACTGCACCCGAAACAGCTGAGTGCGTACGGGGCCCACTCGAAGGCCGTCCATGAGCACTGCCATCTTGATGTGTTCGTTGAGTGGGTTTCCCACTAGGGACGCTGTGAGTTCCCGTATCTCTTGCACGTACTCGTGCAGCTCACGCCTCCCTTGTTTACACGAGAGGAAGCGCGAACGCTGGCGGTACACGTAGCTCGCCTGGAGGAACGCGGCTCAGAGCTAGCTGAGCCCAGGATGTGAAATATCCAGGGGATGTTGCTTCCCGTGCGTACACCCAACTCTTAGCACGGCCGCTAAGGTTGGAGAGTGCAAAAGCAACACGAAGGTGATCGGTCGAGATCAGAGCCGCGTCCATCGCGAGCTCTAGGAATGCAATGTCATCAACCAATGGTTGGCTTTGGACGACCTTAGTACTCTGTACCAAATATCCCGAAGTATGACGTGTCACGCTTCATGTAACCAGGGTACACTTAGGGCTACGTACCCCGTTTCAAAGTGTGACGGGGTCACACAGCACCTTGCGCTAGAGGAAGTTAGCTTTCGAGAGTATACAAACTCTCAGTGAAGTTCACAGGTCACGTGTCACACTTCATGTAACTAGGGGTACACTTAGGGATACGTACCCCGTTACAGACGGTATCTGGAGCGCAGAGGATCCTCTTTTCTCGGAGTGGGCAAAATTGCTGCAGTTCAAGGTGAACAAAACGTGTGGTTGACTCGACAAAGTCAGCGCACGCTCGCTTCAATGTGGAACATGCATATTATTGGTCGTATTGTAGCCAATATACCCATCTAAGTTTGCAATTTGAGCCACTCAGAGCGTCGTGTCGATTTGTTGTGGATTGTTGCCTTTCTCTGACTCGCCCCGCATCGGCAATTTTGGACGGAATTGACAATATTGATATCCGATTACGTAGGGTGCAGTACTGTAGACCACTAACCGGGAGGAGTGTACTGTACACGTAGTGCTCAAGATGAGAGCACGAAAACGCTGCCAAGAGAATTTCCGAGCACAAACCTTTTATTTCGGTCAACGTCTTGTGCAGAGCCCAACACACAAGAGCAATCGGATGGTTTGGGGAGGGGGAGGCAAAGTGTAGGTAGGTGCAACAGGGATGCAGCCACTTACTAGAAGCCACCCGTCCAGTGTCCGTTGCGATCGCTCCAATTGAGCTGGCGAGAGGGTTTGGTCTTTGGTTATCTACAGAGACGCGAGTGCGAGCTGGGCCTGCAGCTGGCGGACCTTCTCCTTCAGCTGGAGGTTCTCGCCACGAACACCTGCAAGTTCCGAGTGTGCAGCTCGCAGCTCGCCATTAAGCTCCTCTCCGGTCCCTTGGCCTCCTCCATAATGGTATCTTGTGATAACCATTCTGACTCCTGTTCCGAACTGGCAGGTGTTTGAGACTCCGTGTATAAAGACTCAATATCTTCTTCTTTTAGTATTTCTTTCCATTTTAGCAGAGTCTCCACAGTTATCTCGTACAACGTAGTCCATTGTTCCCCTCCTTCAAGTTAAGCTCTTTTAACTCACGGCGTTTTCCTGGTGGTAAGCCAAGTAGACCAGCGATCTGAGCGGTTTCTAATTCATTTTTGCGAATTCCTCCAAACCTGTTGATTTCCTCCTGTTCACTCCTTGCTGTGGACTGCCCCCCCCCCTTGGTGCGTCTGCAACGGAGACATCCTTGACCATTATCTCCTCCTTGCTGCTATCCAGCGCCTGTACTGTGTGGACCATATTACTTTAATAGCTCGTATGTGGTAGTTCTCCCGGTGGTTCTTCCATTTCATCTAACTCCATTGGGGCTGCTTCAGTTTGACTTTCATCCAGTGACGCCCCGTCCTCACGTTTGGCAAATCGGAGCCAAGTGTAATGCTCTGACTGAAATAAGAGAACAATCGGGCCTTGAGTAGGCGTGTCATCCGTTTTAAAACCTGCTTGAATATCTTGTATCCAGTCCTCTGGTACCCCAATGCTGAAGTTCTTTTCTTTCACTGTCATGTAGGTTTCGCCATTTCTGTTACTTTGAGCTGGGTAGAAAACCTGGAAGCTTGATGTCTCCAGCCCAGTTGACGCCACGACCACATAGATCTTCTTATTGAGGATTTTTGAGATCATTTTCAGCGTCACTTCTGAGCCCCAGTAGCACAGATCAATGCGGTTCTCTCGTTTGGACGTTGTCTGCCCTATCTCCCGTAAATATCTTTTTATTGCCCGTTCCGATTGCTGCGGAGTAGGCCTCTCTTTTACTGGTTCAATTGTACTGAAAATGCCTGTGGTATGCCATGG